AGCGTTGCAACGTTGGTCCTCCTTGCTTTTACACGATGGGGCCATTTGTGACATGCTCCTTTTTATGATCGCGGGAAAAGAGCAAAGGAAAAATGATAGAGGGAAACAATTTAGACACTAATGGACACCGTTTGTGCAACAACAGAAGAGAACAAGACGTTGGGGCGCGAATAGAGAAAGGGCGGAGAAAGGCAAAAGCAGCAAAATAAATGGAAAGGAAAAACAAGAGTAAGAGAATGGACGAGAATTAGAAGGCAATGATATTTTTTTTATACCGTTGAATAAGTTCTGAAAAAAAATGAGATGAATAGAGAAATTCAACAAGTTAACACAGAGATTATCGACTTACCTGATAGTGATCGCCTGAGATGATTAAAGAAGATGCGATTTCAACCTGGCTGTAGAAATCGCCGGCGTCGGTCGGGTGGTACTTGGCCAGGTGGTGGAGAAACTGTTCGAGATTGTCATAGTCGTCGCTCTGTACGAAGTTCAGGAAGTCGAGGTCAATTTGCAATTGTTTGATTTCGTCGGCGACGTTCAGTCGAGCCAATCGGTCACTGTTCTGATCGATCTTGACCATTAGCAAATGATGATCGTTGTCATGACAAGCAGCCTCCAGCGACAACTTGGCGTTGCGTAATGACATGGCGAAATGCTGCCGGATGGCGAAGCCACGGAGTACGGTGTCAGCGATGTGGCGTCGTATGTCCCTAGTTTGGAACATGAAATTGTGGAAGTCTTGCAGCGTGGAGATGTCCATGCGCTGGATTACTTGGTGAGTCCATGATGGGTCCAGGAATGCTCCGGACCACTTCTCGATATCGTTAGCGACCAGAAACTCGCGTATTCTGCCGCTGTTTTCACGGACACTTTCCACCGACTCGATGGCCGCCTCGAAAAACGCGTTAGCGAACTCGTCCGCGTTTCGAACGTCGTCCACACGATGGTAGCAACGTTGTTCATCCGAATAGAAGCCTGAATCATTGAACTGCTGTTCGGTGCCGGCACCTGTCGACAGGATCAGCGAAGCGTCAGGGTTCGCAATAAGCATCTCCTTGGCCACCAGATTCATACCATCTTTGATCGGTGTAACTACGCCGACGTCCATTGCCAGGTAATGAGAGACGAGCACCGGCCTCGCGACACCGTCCGTCTGGAAAATCACCGGTTTCCAGTCCGGATCATCCGCCAACTTGTGCTTGTCGTTAATTTGAGTGGCAAACGCGATCGCGTCGTCTTGGTACTCTCGATAGCTATCGATGCCACGTCGGTTGATGACCGCCACCTGCAGAAGCACGTCTTTACCACGACGTTCCGGGTGACTTTCCAGAAAACGATCATAAGCAATCAGTTTTTCCTATAAGCAACAACCACTAAATTAGCAGAAAGTAAGTATGAACATAAAATAACAAACACATCAGCATACAATCAAAGCTCCAAACGTGAAAAATACATTTTAATTTTCGGTCATCGAATGGCACGAAAACACTAAAAACGTGAGTAGCGGTCTAACCTTAATTCCTTTCGTGTAATCAAACCTTTCAACCGAGAAGAAAAGCTTTCCGGTGCGATTCAGCATCAGATTGTTACGAATTTCTCGAGCTTTACGCACAACATTCGGGTCTTTGGACAAGTTTACGAACTCTTCATTCTTAATACTGACGGGAAAGACGCCGAGTGACGAAGTGAAGCCTTCGTGCGAGATTGAGTATCTGTCGTTCGGTGCGTCGTGAAACATCTTAGCCGTAGTCATATGCTCCGTGACGAAGTTTATGAACGTAGCACGATCTCGATGAGTTTGAAAACCAACTTTCGTGAATCGCAGAATGCCTCGCAGCACAGCTTCGGCGACCAGCTTGTATTTGGTAAAAAAAGTAGCTGGGGGCTGAAACGGAGTGTGCAGGAAAAAACCGACTTCCAAATCAGGGTCTAGCGAATGTACAATCATGCCTGAAATTACGGGTTCGAAAATCACTTGCCGACTGCCACAACAACACAAAGTCTTCGACTAATAGAACAAACCTGTGAGAAGTAGATGGTAATCGTGGATCCACAGGAAGTCTTGTGGTCGACTATTACGTACGGCGTTGATCGCGAACTGATAGTTGACGCGAACGTACGCATGCCAGTGAGCTTTCAGGATGTCCGGCTGATCGTAATCGGATGATATATATTCAGGGAGATTGTGGAACGCTGGCCACAGCAAACCGTTAGATATACCACCATAGTACGTGTTATAGTCGTTATCCGATATGAGAACAGGATTTAGATTGTAGTTCTCCTTGTTGTAGGCTCGGAACACACCAAGCAGAGACATCTGATCCCGAATTTCTCGTTCTTTCTCATCATCGGCGTACAGCGGGTCCTGCAGAAGACTGAAATGTATCAAAGATGAGGCGTTCTTTACGATCGGCAGTCCGAGCGAGTTGGTGACCATCGGTGGCGGCGGCAACTCCTCGGAACGCGAAGTACTGCGCATTATAGGCACCGATGGACCAAAGCACGCGAGCCACACATTCTCCGGGTCTTTGTTCATCACAGGTTCACAACAGGTAACTAGACCTC